GATTTACACATTTACTCAAGTAAATAAACAGAATTAATAATGAGCTAAAAATCAGCAGAAATCTGCGGAATTCTGCGGAAAATCTGCGGAATTCTGCATGTGCAGATTCCGTGTGGGCCTAATAATAACTCATTAATATTAATTATTAATATTCATAAACTGAGCTAATTTCGCTACACTAGTTTTGGTTTGCCATATGTTGTTCAAACTCATCAGGGTTGTAAATTTACATCAAAACCTTTTACACAAGTTTAAAATGAACTAGGGATTAAACATCAAACTTCCAGCGCTTATCACCCCGAGTCTCAGGGTTGCCTTGAAAGATTTCACCAAACTTTAAGTCCATGTTTAGAGCATATTATATGTAGACTGGGAATGATTGGGTTGAGGGATTCACTTTCTAGTCTTTACAATACTTCTGCAGCCAGATGACAATGACCTGGAGCATCCTAGTTGCAATTTTTCTAAAAAGTTCTAAAAAGCTCTAAAGTTCCAAAAAGCTCTTGCACTAGTGCTGGCATTACAACACGTTGAGATGTTTGTAGGAAGTAGTGGTTTACTGATGACTGTATATACTGATCATAATCCATTGTTGATTTTGTCCCATATGCGAAATGCAAATCAGCGGCTTATGCTTTGGGAATTCGGCAGGAATTTATTTGGAGAATAAACATCACAGTGGATCTAAAAATATAGTTGCGGATGTGCTGTCCAGGGTGTATAGTGCTGCAATTGGTTAAATGGATCTACAGTTAATTGGTTTTTATATACATTGTTTCTTTACTGATTTATTTTGTTTGTTTGTTTTTTTGTAGTGCAATGTAGAAACTTGGTTGTGGGGGTGTTATGTCCCGTGATTTGATTATTTAGTTTCTATATTGCATTGTTTCCTTTTCTTCAGTTTCCAAGTTTTCCACATGATATTGTTTTTATGCACGTCAATTCGGTTACACATGTGTACATAGTTTCTTTTGCATGAATTTCATTTGAGTCTTTTCTGTCTCCATATGTAAAATGCATTATATATCTGCATGTGGAGAAAGACAAAGCTTGTAGTCAATTAAAGGATGTATAAATACAGTCTTCATGCTCTTAAAGAGTATATTGTAGGTTAAAAAACTGTTTTAAAAAAAAGGTAGAATCGTTTGTGAAAATACTCTATAATACCATAAAATACCATATTAAAATGTTTTACGAAGTGCAAGGGCACAAATTTTAAAGAAAATGTGTCTGTTTTCCCACTTCCGCTTTTTTTTTTCTAACCACCCCGTGACGTCAGTAGAGGGTTTTATCTGACAGATGCGCGCTGTTTACAGTGGGGCAGAGGAGCTAATAGCAGAACTGGTTGTTAGTTTTGGCGTAATTTATCACCATCATGGTATATTGTTGCGTTTATGGAAACTGCACAAACTCCAGCCTGTCAACAGATCAAGTCCACAAGTTTCCTCTTGTTATTTTGGTTCGTGAAATGGGATGAATCCGAAAAGAGTGATAGCTGACGCGAATGGCGAGAAACACTCCTGAATCAGTCGGAGATGCAGCTTGATGAGCTGTACATGGTAAGAACTCGTTTTTCGTTTATATTTGTCAACTTTCAAGTCCGAAAGCATTATTCTTTGAGTAATTTGAAGCAACGTGATGTGTTTACTTTGGAGTAGCCGATAACACGGCTGCTAGCTTGTATTGTTAAGCATATTAAATATACTTTTTTAAAGCGGGTAAAAATGTAGACATATGATAAGACGGCTAGTAGCATCAGTTTGCTAATATAATAATTGTCTTGTATAGTTACAGCGTTGTGACTTTGTTTGCTTTGTAGTGTGTTTATTAGACTTTGGGAGACAGATGATGACCCGGAGCTGAAGGCTTTCTCTCCACTCGCTCAACTGTGCTTCACTTTGGCTCACAGAGTAACCTCAACTAAGGTAAAGTGGATTTTATATTCGCACATTCGATTAGTGACAGCTTGTGTGACACACTCTCAGTATTATTTACCATAGTACTTTTATTATAATGACTGAAATCACAAGTAAATATGACTTAAAAACAACATTAGCACTATTAAACTGACAGTGAACAATGTTGTACTTTGATAATCATTGGCTGCTAACATGATATTAGGGATTAGCAAATAATACTCTTCTGAAATTATATTATAAGGGAGAAAGTCAGAATGTGTGAATATAGAACCAATTTTACCTCAGACATTCACCTCGTTCATCGGGTAAAATATTATGACCCCTATCGTGAATTATTTGTGCATGGTATTATTTGATAACAAAAACTAGAAGGCCAAAGAATTACTACAATATTTCTATATAATGCAGGCAGGTAAACTCACACTATCTTTGACTTCCTTTTTTTTTTTTTTTAATATTGGAAACGTGTAACCATTGACTTCCATATCTGTTTTCCCACTATAGAAGTCAATGGTTACAGATTTTTAGCTTTCTTCAAAATATCTTGGTTTGTGATCAACAGAAGAAAGTCAATAAGGTTTGAAATCACTTGAGGGAGAGTAAAAATATTCTGTCCTGTTAATGAAGAAAGGCACTTTTTATTTACATATAAGGAATATTGTAGAAGAAAAACAAATAACATTCAAAAAAATGAAGTTTGTTCTGACATGCTCAACCTATAATGGGTACAGTCTACTGTATATGTGAGATGGTTTGCAGTTCACTATCCAGGGGTCTGCAAATGTGGTTGGGTTTTCTGTATTGTGTTATATTAAAAATCATATGGTGAATTTTAAAATATACATAATTAATAAACATGATTTAAACTTTTGCATTATTTCCCCAGAATATATGCATCAGCCCTCACTGCGTGTCTGACAGTGGACTACTGGAGTTCATCACAGGCTCGACGACAATGCAGAACTGTCCACTACATTTACTCTCCTTTCTAGATCCTTCCAGCGGGTTTACAAGGATGAAGCTGTCGGCATCTTTTTACACAGCATTCACAATTTAACACATTAAAGACATGATAGTGTGGCACCGACATAAACGTTGGCCAACTTACTGAAAAATAATTTAAGGTTTACTTTTAAATGGGTCAGATAATATATTTTCCTTTCAGTAAACACACACTCACACAGATACTTATACATATATAAAGAGTAAAAATGCTGGGTATTAACACTGCTTATGATCTTGTGCTATATAAATAAAACTTGAACTTGAGTTGCATTTAGAATTTGAACTTGAATTAGGGTTGAAGTTTATTTAATCATAAATGCAGATCAGGGGCCTCATGTACGAAGACTTGCGTGGAAATATTACTAAAACATTGCATACGCACAAAGCTGTAAATGTGCATACGCAGTGTTTCATACATCTGAATTTTTTTCTGCGTACTGCGCCGAATTTCACGCATATTCTTTTGTACATCCGAATGAACGTGAAACTGAGTGCAACATGCACGAGCACAAAACCCCTCCCTGCCTCCTCCCCCATATGAATATGCTAATGACTATGCTAATGGAAAAACCCAACGAAAAAGCAATGGCAAATCAAGCAAAAAGAGAAACTTTGAACAGAATGTGAAATGGAGGTGCTGCTTTCGGAGGTAGACCGGAAAAAAGCGGTGTTATTTGCAAATTTGTTCTCCGGAATTAACAACAAAAGAAAAAAAATAGAGTGGGAGCACGTTCGAGCATAAACTCGGCTCGAATCCAGCGTCTGATGAACTCTTTCTTCTTTTTTTCCCCGCTACATATCAGATTTTGCAAACTATTTATCACGAGAAAGACAAGTAGGAATCATCAATAAGTTTGTGCATCATATTTTATTTTCACATTTATTGAATGGAAATGTTTCTGATTCACTCATGCAAATTCATCTTCAGATAGTGTCTTTATAGCAATGTGCGTGCGGTAGATAGCTCAGATTACATTGGGAAAACAAGCGACCGCTGCAAATTGTGCTTTAATGTTTAGCTGGTCAACTGTATGGTATGGAAACCTTATATACCTACCAGATCAGGCGTGTCCAAACTACGGCCCGCGGGCCATCTCACATACATTGTGAGTCTCTCAGAATATCTTATCTCGGCAACCAAACGCGCACCTCGATCAGTTGTCTTCATAGTGTTTATATGCGCAAACTCCCTGATCCGACGTCACTTCCGGTCTGGCGATTCAAACGCGGAAGTAAGTTTCCGTGACTTAAAACGACTCCAAACAGCTTAATAATAAACTTTAACGTTTATTTTAAAGAAAATCTAATTCTTACTTTACTCTTACACACATTGTCTCACTGGGGTGTCTAACCTACAATATGCTCTTTAATGTTGAACTAAAAATTGCTAGGCAGACTTCAAACAACAACACAAACAACACTCACATCCTCTTTGCACATCACACCTATCCTCAGGTATTTACACTGGATCCCAGTTACATTCAAAAGACATTTTAAAGTATTATTACTTGTCTATAAATCACTAAATGACCTAGGACTTCAGTACATTACAGATATGATCACTGAACAAAAACAGCTGAAGCTGGAATCAGCTTCCAGAAACAATCAAATGTGCTCCAACATCTGTTTAGCTGTGCCTTTACTGAATAAGCACTGTGCTACATCATACAAATCAAATGATTGTCTTTTCTTTTTTTAATTCCTTTAAAACCTGTATTAACACAATTTAATTTAACTTAAATTAGATTCACAATTTAACTTAAAGTCTTAATTTTTTTATTCTTTGTTGTTTTTATTGTCTTGTTTCTTTTATATGTAAACCACTTTAATATACCATTGTGTATGAAATGTGCTATATAACTAAACCTGCCTTGCCTAGAAGTTAAGTATAAATAGATTTCCTTTATAGGGCACATTTAATTGCAAAAAGCATGATAGCTAACAGACAAACTTTCGGTGTATCATATTTATTTTAAAAAGGATTATATGTAATAGACTTTGGATATGTTTATTCAAGATTATAGATAATCAAGATAAATGTCAGTCTAATTTACAAAGAGATATTGGAACTCTTACCTTGAGGTGATTTTTGTTCTTGCCAGGTGTTTTGTTGATGAGTCTTTCTACTGTGGACTGGGTCCGCAGATCAAGCCAAACTAAATATTAAAATAAATTGTTAATTATTTAGCTAAATTTTTAAGCAAAAAAAAAGGCCAGCAATGTAAGTGCTGGGGTCTGTGTTTCATACATGGATTACTCATTTAGCTGAATTTTGTTATTGATGATTTGACTTAATCCAGGATAATTTCGTTTTCCAAAATTCATACAGGAGTGTTTGTCATAGCAACAGGTCTGGTAGCTTAAAGCTGCTTGGAAAAAGTCTTATATAAACAGGATAAGATTGTGTAATTTCAAGCAAGATGATACTAAAAGTATGTACCAACTGCTGACATATTCTTTCAAAACCGATGGGTTATACACTCACAGGCCACTTTATTAGGTACAGCTTACTAGTGCTGCATTCAGAATTGTATTAATTCTTTGTGGCATAGATCCAACAAGGTACTGGATAAATTCCTCAGAGATTTTAATCCATTTTGACATTATAGCACCATGCAGTTTCTGCAGATTTGTCTGCTGCACATCCATGATGCAAATCTTCCATTCCACCTCATGCTAAAGCAGCTCTTTTGGACTGAGCTCATTGTCATGTTCAAGAAACCAGTCTGAGATGTTTCACACTTTGACATTTATGACACTTATAACGCGTTATCCTGCTGGAAGTAGCTATCAGACAATGGAAACACTGGTATGGTCTTCTGCTGCTGTTGCATATAAGCCTAGAGGTTTGATGTGTTGTGGGTTCAGAGATACTCTTCTTCATACCTCAGTTGTAACAAGTGCTTATTTAAGTTGCTGTTGCCTTTCTATCAGCCTCAACCAGTCTGGTCATTTTCCTCTGACCTCCAGCATCAACAAGACATTTGCGCACACAGAACTGCCGCTCACCGAATATTTTCTCTTTTTCGGACCATTTTCCATAAACCCTAGAGATCATCGTGCATGAAAACTCCAGTAGATCAGCAGTTTCTGAAATACTAACACAAACCTATAGACCAACAACTATGCCACGTTTAAAGTCATTTGAATCACCTTTTTTATCCATTCTGATGATCGGTTTGAATTCCAGCAGTCTTGACCATGTCCACATGCCTAAATGCATTGAGTTACTGACATGTGATTAGAAGTTTGTGTTAATGAGCAGTTGGACAGGTGTACCTAATAAAGTGGCCAGTGACTATATACTGTATTACAAATGGCAATTAATAAAAAAATTAAATAAATAAAAATTAACACAAAAAAAAGATTTGAATTAAAAAAGAAAATAAACTCTAAAAGTTAAACTAAATAAATTGATAAATACTTTTGACACATGAAAAGTGTAAAGCCCAGATCAAGTATGGAAAGTTATTGCGTATCATATTTAAACTACTAATTGCAAATGTTATGTATATTTTGCTCACGTGGACAATTGAACGTTCATGTCATACATTGCTAATCATAATTTCAGGGATCGATAGATCTGTCCTTTACAACAGTTTATCCAGACATTTTAAATAGAGCCTAACCAATATTTAATTTTGCCAATTTTATTGGCCAAAATTTGCCGACGTATCGATATTGGTAAGTTTGCTTTAAATCAGATTGTTTTTTAAAATATAGTTCACAAAACATAAAACAAACAAAAAGATTGAAATAAATACACATGAACAGGCAAGCGTCTTTTTGACTGGTACTGTACAATTATATGCAAATTATCTGCAGATATTTTAATCTCTGTATTTTTTTTCATTGTGATATCGGTACCAAATAAACCTTATCTGTCAGGCTCTAATTTTAATATGATAAAAAAAAATGCCCAGACTTGTTAGCCAACCAAATTAGCCAAAGATCAGTTATGAAGATTAAAAGTTCCAGGATCTGCCAAATCATCTTAGATGGTTTAAGCAAAGTACAAAGATCAGACCCCAGGTCATAAATATTACCTATAGCATTATAAAGTGGTTCTCCTGTTTGTTTGTCCCATACAAGGGTGGTTTCCCTCTGATTGGTTACGCCAACAGCTACAGACAGATTACATTTAGTAATTAAATTAAAACAAATAACTATAGGGTATAAAAACAGGCAGTAAACTAAATAACAGGCCATCTAGGTACCTTTTATATTTGAAACGTCAATGTTAAGCTGGGTCAGTTTCTCACAGGTCCTGTCCATGCACTCATACACAGACTGAAGAATCTCTTTTGGATCTTCCTCCACCCATCTGAGAGCAAATAATGAACCATTATTTGTATTGTATCACTCTAACTAGCCTAATAAATATATAATTGAATATGCCACACATCACATAACTGGGCACAGTTAAAACAGATAGCACTGCTATTAATGTGAATGGAATAAAAGAAGTCATACTCGGTTCATCTATAATAACAGTATAAACTGATAGTAAACTTGTGACTGAAATAAAAAGAAGTACTCTCTTACTATATTGCACAACACATTGTAATCATTTAACAGTATGTGTGAGTCCAAGAAGTGAAAAACACAATACCTACCCTTCTTTAGGGAAGCTCTGTTTAATTTCAACCTGATGGTGGCTGAGAAGCTCTGCAGTTTTTGCATTGAAAACCTATGATTAATGAGAGAAGGGGAGACAGATTTGTGGTTAACAAAAAAGAGAAAGAGAATAAACTAAACTTGCATAAAGACATTTAACTGCTGACATCATCCTTCATTTAAAAATGTCTAAATGGACCAAAACAGTACCCAATCTTAATGCTTAAGTTATGTTCTCTCTAATTTTTATATTGCTTTAAATTTTATATAAATTATTATATTGCCTAAAATTATGACAATCAACCGTGTAAGTTATACATATTTGTTATAAATGATTTGCCGATTATGGGAACCAGAATTAAAAACATGTTGCAAAAGAAAGACATTATAATTTTAATGGCATCTATGATTATGTTTGTCGGTTTCTTTTTTTTCCCCCGAGATCTCCATAATCCTGGACCCAGCATGTATCCTGAGAAGATGCTATGGTGGTCATCGATAAGTTGAGCACGAGACTGATTCTAGCCTCTGTATTTTTTTAATAGTATTTGTTTGACCTAATCTTAGGCTAACTTAAAGCTAAGACTGTGATTATGTTGAACATTTCATGGTGATGTTAAAAGTTTTTTTTTTATTATTTGTAGTAATTCTTACCACAACTGGTTAACACTTATAAGGAATACTTGTTAAGAATCACACATTTTGTTTGTCTTCATACCCAGCAAACAATGACATGGGGCCTCATGTATCAATGCTGCGTAAAAAACTTTTAATGCTCACGTTTGGATTTACTAACGATGAAATGAACAAGAGAATGTGCGTTGGTCCACGCTAACTTTATGCCTGGTGTACGTGCATTTCGTGTGTGTTTGTTTTATTTCCATTGGTGACTCCTAGAGGCAATTATGTTCAATTGCACACTAGAAAGTATCTTTGAGCCACGCAATGGCAGCTGTATGGGACGGGATAATCAGCATGTCTAGCAGGTATACAAGGTTTCCATAACATGCAGTTGAAAAGCCAAACATTAAAGCGCAATTTGCAGTGATCGCCGGTTCTCCCAATCTAATCAGAGCAATCGACTGCACGCACAATGCTATAAAGACGTCACGTGAAAAAGAATTTGCATAAGTGTATTGGAAACATTTACATTCAATAAATGTGCAAATAATAAGTGATGCTCAAATGCGCTTAACCTAATACACTAATAATGATTCTTACTTGTCTTCCTCGCGATGAAGAGTAGCCAAAATCTGATATGTAGTGGGGAAAGAAGAATGAGTTCATCAAATGCTGGATTCGAACAGTTCATGATCGACCGTGTGAAGACATGCCATGCCATGCTGCTGTGTGCCGCTCTCTTTAGTTACGTTGTCTCTGTTGGAATGAGCTAGTTGAGTGATTCCCACTCATCACCGATTGACAAAGTGTGCTATTTGCACTTAACCTAAATAGACACAACAAAATTTTACACCTTTACATCGGACCATTTCTTTTTTAATTCACTCACGGTGCGATGCTTAGACTAGGGCTGTGCATTTAATCGAAAATCCGATTTCGATTTCGACTTCTAACGATTATGAAAAACCATTAATCGAGATAAACTATTATTGCGTCATATACAAAAAGCGCGAAAGTGCGGCACGCACCGAGTGCTTATGTGTGTGCGGCGCGCACCTGCGGTGGCACATGAGAAGCATGCGGTCAGCATTCGGTCTCATTCGCACACTGAGACGAGCAGAGGAGCGCAGACAAAGTCATCTTAACGGGAGCGCTTTAATGGTCAAATAGGTGTCAAAATGCAGTGTTTAGTGATTAACCATATTAACCCTCATTTATGTAATAAACGAGTTGAGAATCAAAAGACACATGAAACAGAAACCATTAAAGTGACCGCGCAAAATATTTCTGCTGCCGTCTGTTTTTATCATCAATCAAACAACGAAAAAAATCCCTCACTGCTCTTGACTGAAGGATTTTTATAGCTAAAGTATTTTTCTTAGGGTGAAGATGCTTAAAGCAAAGTTTGTTTCATATTTTACTAAATATTTTTCAAAATACAAGCATTCAGATTAAAGTGCAATTCAAAGGCTTAATTAGGGTAATTAGGCAAGTCATTGTATAACAGTAGTTTCTTCTGTAGACAATCAAAAAATATATTGCTGAAGGGGACTAATAATATTGACCTTAAAATGGTTTTCAAAATATTTAAACCTGCTTTTATTCTAGCCAAAATAAAACAAATAAGACTTTCTCCAGAAGAAAAAAAATAGAGGAAATACGGTTAAAATTCCTTGCTCTGTTTAACATAATTTTTTTATTAAAAAAAAAATTCTCAGGAGCGCTAATATTTTTGACTTCAACTAATAATCGTTTTGAATAATCGTGATTACAAAATATGAACAAAATAATCGCGTTTATGATTTTTTTTCCAAAATAGAGCAGCCCTAGCTCAGACCCAACTGCATCAACCACATCAGCTAAACTCTCCCACAATTTTTTTTCTTTTCTTATTAATTCTAGAGGACAAACTTGCAAATAAGACTTGCAATTTTTTTCTCCGGTCTTCCTCCGAAAGGAGCACCTCCAATTCACATTCTGTTCAAAGATTCTCCTTTTGCTTGCTTTTGCCATTGCTTTTTCTTTTAGTTTTGTCAAAGTAGAGTCATTACCATATTTATTTGGAGGAGGAAGCAGGGAGAAGTTTTGCAATCGTGCATGTGCACTCGGTTTCACGTTATGTCAAATTTACAAAAACAATATGCGTAGGATTCAGTGTACACACTACGCAGTGTTTCATACATCTGAATTATTACTCTGTACGCACATGTTTTAGTATAAAAATTAACGCAAGTCTTCATACATGAGGCTCCTTTTAAACCAGAGTCATTTTTTGGGCTGCACAAATTCAGTAATTTTATATGAGATGACCACCGCTGGCAAACCAGCTTGCCGGTGGTGGACCTCCAGCACGACACTAGTGGGAGACTAGCAAGCTTCTGGCTGATCACTAGTAGACACGGCTGATATTCTGATGGTGGACTGCTATTGGTCCGCTGATTTTTAATAAGTAACTGCTAGTGGCCCGCGGTCAGTTCACATGTCATATTGAACTTTTTCTTTTCCTCTCGCACATTATACACATATAAAATTCTAAATAATTGTATCCAATACATTTCAATATTGCATAAAATAATTGAAGTACAACAAAAAACAAAAGCCTAACAATTAAAATTGTAAATGTATTAATAATACTACTCTACAATCATATAAACATCTTGGATTGTTTTTACTGACTATTTTATAAATAACGTCATTTATATTTATTAGTTCATTTATAGTTCAAATGAATCTAAGCCACTGAATAAAATAGTGTGTGACTTTGTTTAATATAATTAGCCTTGTATTAGATACTGATACTGCTATGAATACTGCTAAATGTTTTTAAAATTCAATATAAAATCAATATAAATTTAATGTAAAATGCTATTTAAATAGTTTATGTAATAATAAAAATGTTTATGCAAATGCTACATGACTTTTTAATTCTGGGTTTGAAGCTATTCTGTAGATATAGAACGTGCACAGCTGAAAAAAAATTTAATGAATATGTTTATCCATTTCTCAGTAAGTTTAGATAATATATTTTGGTACAAAATATATTTTAATGAAACCGTTTTATTATATTAACATAAAAATAAGAGTGTGGTCAGTGTCACCTAACATCTTTATTATTAAAAAGATAGTACATTTAAATTCAAACTACATATTGCACACAAAATAAAATTACATTATATATTTGTACAATGAAATTGTAACTAAAATGCATCTTGCTCTTGATTGTCCCTCTATTGTAATTTTATTGAATATTTTCCATTTTACTTTGTCAAATGGTTGGTACAGGTAACCACTACTCTGATACAATGACTTGTACAAAATTAGTTTATACAGTTGGCACTATAGCGCAAAACAACTTTTTTGCTTTTTGACCATACTGTGGTTTCCAAACTGTTGGTCATAGACTCAGACATTTTACATCATTGCGATCCTTTGGTCAGTCTAAACAAATGCTCTGTATAACAGAAAACACTCTCTACAACACACCATTTTTCTGCTAATTTGAGCTGAAACCTACTTTTGTGAGATAGTCCTAGATTTTTTGCCCAATCAGAACCAATACATTGCAGATATATTCTCTGGACAGTAAATCAATAATTATCAATAATAAAAGTTGAGTTTTTGTTTTCTGTGTGAAACAGAACACAAAAATGGTCTATGCTATCTTTAGCCAAAAGATAATTGTAGCTATAACTATTGAACGGAATGAGATATCATCACCAAACTTGGTACACGTATTGGGCCCTATCATACACCCGGCGCAATAAGGCGCAAGATGTGTTTGCCGCGATGTGTAGCTATTTTCAGACCAGCGCAACACTAATTTTCCTGTTTTGCTCTACAATGTTTAAATAGCAAATCCATTTGCACCACTTTGTGGATTCATGGGTGTGCTGGTTCAAAAAAAGAAGTGTGTTAAGGCGCATTGTTGCCGCATTGCTGTTTTGAGGAACTAAAATAGACTGCACAATAGACCAGCTAAAATCTGGTCTAAAGTCCAGTGCAGAGCGCGTTAGTGGTCTTTAAAATGGAGTCCATATTGTCAATTTGAAGTCACAGTAAAAAAAGAACAAAAAATGCAACCTTTGGCCACAAAGTGGCACTATAAATCAAAACAACCATGAAAATGCATCGATCGGCTTGAAATTTGAAATGCCATGTCCTTGTTTAAGGAGGCACATCATGGCCACTATTTGCCAATTGAAGTTTGAGAACCCATTAAACAAGGTTAATGATGGCGATCAGAAGGAAACTTGGCAGACATGTTTTAGGCATGTGAGCATGCATTGTATGTGTTTTAGTGTTTAATTGGTTGTGTATCACACAATGTTTCCCTGAGGCACACACAATTCACATCAAATGATAGGCCAGCTGAAATGGCGTTAGAAGTGTCACATACTGTATTTATAAGATATTCTTCACCCAGAAGTGTCATTTCTGTCTTCATGTAATGAT